CCCCCCACCAAAAGTTCTGAGTCTCGCACATTTTCGAGCTTTATCTTCCGTTTTAGAGCCATTTGCATGCCTTTCTAGAGTTATGATGAATTCAAGCACCGAAGGCTCCATAACGTATTGTCAATGCATATATGTCTTAGAGAGAGGTACTTTAAATCTACTCTCATTCATTGTAATTTTTTTTTGTTTCAGGATTGACTAGAAGCTCCTAGTCACCCTTCAAGAACCACTGACATCTATCACTGTAAGTAATAGAACCAAGAATGCTGTCTCAGCTTCTGCTCCTGGTCCCTCTGCTGGCTCTGCCGACCCGCGCGGAGAGGGAGGTCTTCGCTCACTTCATCCTCGGCAACACAGCTCCCTACAGTCACGATGACTTCCACGCGGACATCAAGGCGGCCTCCGACGCCGGGATCGACGGTTTCGCCTTAAACATCGGCGGCGACTCCTTCACCTCCGCCTCGCTGGACGCCCTCTTCGCCGCCGCGGAGTCCTTCAACCGCGCCACCGGCCGCTCCTTCCGCAGCTTCATCTCCTTCGACTACGCCGCCTACCCCTTCACCATCGACGACTGCGTCACGCGCCTCCTCCGCCACTCCCCCTCGCCCGCCTACTTCCACTACAACGGTCGTCCCGTCGCTTCCACCTTCCTCGGCACCAAGGCCCACCACGACTGGAACGAGATCAAGCGGCGGACCAACGCCTACTTCATCCCCACCTACAGCGATGTCTGGGTCGGCGAGAGCGCCCGCTACCCCCCCGTCAACGGACTCTTATCATGGGACGCCTGGCCGTACCACGCCAACGTCACACCCGCCACCGACCAACACTACGTCGAACAGCTCAAATCCGCCGGCAAGCAGTACATGATGCCCGTCTCGCCCTGGTTCTACACCGCTTGCTGCGGCAAGAACTGGCTCTATAACTCGGATCAGCTCTGGCCTGCACGGTGGCAGCAGGTCTTTCAACTCCGTCCGGACTTCCTCCAGCTTCTGACGTGGAACGACTACGGCGAGTCGCATTACCTCGGTCCACAAACAACCCACGCATCTTCCTACCCTCAAGGCTCGAAGGGTTTCAATGAGGGCATGGTGCACAGCGCGTGGCTATCCGACCTCCCTTACTACATCCAGAGGTACAAGTCTGGGAATGAGCCCGTGGCGGGTGCTTACAACGAGCACTTGACTTTCTGGTACCGGAGGAACCCGAAGCACGCTTGCGGAACGGGCGGTACCGTTTGCAACTCAAAGGCTAACGGCCAGGAAACATTCCCAGCGACGGACTGCGCGGCGGACCAGGTCAACTTCTCCGTGTTCACGGCGGAAACGGCGGTTGTGACGGTGCAGATCGGTGATGGGCCACCGCGGACGGTCACCTCCCCGACGAGGGGGTTGTTCAGTGGAAGTGTGCCGTTCGACGGTCAAACTGGGACTGTTAAAATTTCGGCGCAAGTCGGTCCACGGACGATTCGGACCATCACTGGACCGGGAATCACGAATGATTGTGGAGGCCTCGGGCATGTGAACTGGAATCCGTGGGTTGGCGGTGGTGTGCCTAGCTGAATTTACAACTGAGAGTTTTATTGTCAACTTATGAGAAATAAAATTTCTTTGATAGCTTACAGAACTAGGGTGCCCTTCACCTGCAATACTACGCGATTGCTAATACTATGGTCGCTCGCAGAATGTACCACATTTTTTAAATAAATTGAGCTTAAAACGAAAGCAGCGCAGGGAGTAAAAAGTAATAATGTATCTTTAGAAATAAAATAAAAATACCACAGCACATATACTACAAGTTTGGAAAAGTTTATTCAAGTATACTCTTTTTAATAAATGATAGAATTGTTAAGTGTTTGCAAAAATGAACAATCATCGACACTTTTAAATGCACTTAAAAATAAAGAAAATATTGCTAACTTCAACTAATCCCACTTTTCAAGAAATGTTAAATAAGGAAGGAGGGATGCAGGTAAACTAAGACACCGAAGGTAACCACGACAAAACTCACACGGGTGAGAGGTACAACTTGAATTGTTCTCAGCATGCAAAACACATACATTTTAAGTATGATAAGACAGGAAATTCATTAATATCACAGATTTACAATACTACAACTGTAACGAGGAAAACAAAAAATGATGATACATTATTCATAATGATTCGAATCGAGATGATTCTATCGCTTATTCAAACTAATTTTACCCTTAACTTTCGATTTGGTCTTTTATTCATAAATCAGAGAACGTCTGATGAGAGTTCTACAGTTTACAACAAAAAGAAATTACTGAAATGCAATACATCTTATACGTCGCTGACTGTCCGAATACAAATAAACGGTGACACACTAGTCATGACAAAGTTTAGACAGCCTCTCGTTTAAAGAGATAGCTAATATAATGTGGAGGGTATGTGAAATTTCACCGTTTTTTTATAACATTCAAAGATCGATAACTTCTCAAAAAATGGAATAAAAATAGTAAAAACAAGTATCAATACGACATTAAGCACAGTACAAAGGCACAGTATAAAGGGTAACTATTGTGATTTGAATTGGTAAACAATTTGGCAGCAGTATCCACTCTCCGCGAATTTTGGCAACTGGAGCTGAGATTTGCGATCCCGGGTGCCGAATTTTGGCAGAACTACAGTGTACTCTACCGAGCATTCGGCAATTCTGCCGAATTTCGTCAGCCGGGACTGCAAATCTCGGCTCCAGCCGCCAAAATTCTCGGGGTGCGGATACTGCCGCTAATTTTTTTTACCGTGTGCCCCACACGAATATCTATAAAAATCAAATAAATAATGGGCGTGTAAACATAGCGCTAATAATTTGATTACTTTGGAGGAATTTTTGTACCAACGAACACATTTAAAAATCTGGAGTTAGATGTTTCTGGGTCGCACAAAGTTAAATGCGCAATTCTAGTCTATCCAGATGTAATTTAAAAGACTTTACTATGGGTCCTTCTTACACGATCAAATTACGAATGAGATTTGCAGTTATTTGGGGTGGCTCGGTTTGCTCGTAACTTGACTGTGCAACAGGGATCTACTCTAAAAGATATAACAATTTTAATAAAACACTAAGGGGCTAGACAGAAATGTAAAATCCGATTCACAGTCAAAACTAAAATATTCAAATTGAATATAATTTCTAACTTTACTAACACACAATCAAACAACCCTATCAAACGAGTATGGAATGCTTTGAATAGTACTTTAAAACAATGAGCTAATGTTTTACTGAACCAAACATCATTATATCTCTGAGCGGCTATAACATAATATTCGATTTTTTAATATTTTTGTATGATTGACAAGCGGATCCGTCATTTTTAAAACTGGATATTTGTGATGAAAATTTAAAACTGCTTCCCAAGAGAAAAGATATGCCTCAGTTCGGAAATTCAGTTTAAATTGTCTTGGCTCTTGATGAGTCGACAATAAGGTGCAAATAAGTAATTTGCACTGTACCTTCGGTAAAGAGGTCAGAATTTGAATACGCTCCGACGCAATTTCACATGCAAACAACATCTTATACCACTTTTAAGATCGAAGCGGTAGCAAAATGAAAATAATTTCTTCAAGAACGACCCACGTTCAGTTTGGAGCAGCCAATATCTTTGCTGGACAGCGAGGAAAAAGAAGATTAATGTCGCGACATCCTCATTTGAACCTTGATAACAAGAACCGCATCCAGTTGAAACTTACTTAGGATAAATTTTCTTAGGAATAAGAAGGAACAGAGACACATTTGGAGTAGCGATCAAAGAAAGAGCTTCCCCCGAAATTCCAGGATTAAACCCTCTCGCTGAGGAAACTGTGATAGAGAGGCACACGAGTGGCGAGGCGTGAATGATCGATTATCGATATTTTCCCATTCGAAGCTATGGTGAAGAATCGATTATTGAGGTGTTCGTTACGAACACCCGGATTATCGATCATTTTCCATGGATTTTAATGGCAGTTCAATCGATATATCGCAATGCACGCCACGCCACTGATGCACACTTATGCACTAACCCTAAACACACACCGAAAACTGGGCTTGTCTTAGTAACTTTTCATTTTTATCTTTATGAACAAATTTTTAAGAGATAATTAAAGAAGTTTTCAGCAATTTTGGGAGAGGTTTAGGGAATTTTAAACCTGGAAAACTACTTTTTATACGCCCCTTACTTTGATCCCTAGAGTTCACGAGAGTGCATAAAAAAGAAATAAAAAATGGAAGACTTGAGTTGTTGAAAACTTTGAGATACATCGGCCTCAAAATGCAAGAGAATTCATGCTAAATATACGTACTCCATTCACTCTCAGAATCTTTTCTGCCGGATCCAGGAACTCCTCTCGATTTTGAGTCATTGCCTCCAACAAAATACACCCTATCGGAATTACTCTTGTTCCCTACACTGTAGGCTTGTTCCTTTACGATAGTAGCCTGGGGCTCCGTCCTACTTTTGGTCTGATTACTTAGCTCTGAGGCACTAGGCCTGACCTCACCCTGACCCTTCAAATTTTCAAGATTTTTCATTTTCACAGCCCTCTCAACCTCCACGCTGTGGAGCTCATTGATACTGATCTCGCTGGGTTTTTTCATTAGTTTATGCGGTAACGCAGTCGATTTTTTGGACGTATTCGACTTATTCACTTCGCTGCCTCGGCTGAAAGAATGTTTCAGATTTGATATGCTACATCGGTCCAAATTTTCACTTCTGCTGTCTCCCAAGGGATTATCCAACACGGGCCGCCAGAGAATCCCGGAAGTCGTCCGACGCCGCGCTAATATTTTCGGGTAGCTCTGGAACCTCCTCCTGGGCGTTAGCGAGGGGCTTTCAGGTTTGATTGAGTCTCTCGAGGAAAATATGTCTTCTTTTATTTGAGAATTCCCTGTCAACTCAAAAGCACTGCCATGTTTTACCAGTTTCTTGGGGTTCTCGTTGGCGCCGGTAAGATTCCGAAGGCTCTCCTCGAATTGCTTCCTGTTTCGTCGAAGCGGACTTTGAGGCTCGTCCGATTTTGCCACCTCCTGGTGGATCGCTGTCACCCCATTGATGCTCGGATCAGAGCAGTAACTTTCAAGTGTTGCAGCTGACTCCCAGTGACGTTCATTCGGACTGGTCCTGAATCTTTCCAAAGGATCACGAGCATTTTCGATAAGGATGCCGCCATTTTCCAGATCTTTAAATTTCCTGCAACAAACAAGTACAATTTGACTTTCTGAAAAAGCATTAATGTACAACTAAGACAGTGTATGTTACAGATCCCGCATACTGAAATCTCCTCTATGGAAAAGTTACTTTCAGTGGTCAACGCTCAAATTCACCTAATGGTGACTGATGATCAAAGAGTAGAGCAATCTGAACCTAATTTGAAAAATCGTGTAGTGAAGTGCTCACTCCGACATTCATCAGTCACGATTCGGCGAATTTTATTTGAGTTTTTGCACAAGAAGCTGCGCATCAATCATTATTTGGCAGAAAGGGACATTGCCCTCTGCACTACAAAAAAAAAAAAAAAAAAAAAAAAAAAAAAAAAAAAATTCTCGAGATATTATGATGACTTAAAGCGTCGTTTCTTGTCGACAAAATTTGTTTTTTTTTTTTGTTAATCAGTGCGCATTCAAATCATCAGTTTTTTTAATTTAAAAAGGCGGCGTTTTGCTATCGTTAACCTTAAGTTGAAGAAATAATGACAAAACAACGTTTTTTCAAGTAGAAACAAACTGAATTTAAGTTTAATTCGCACTGATTTAACTAAAAAAAATTGTCGACAAGAAACGACACTTCAAGTCAAAATAATATCTCAAGAAAGACAATTTTCAGTGCGAGACCAACTGTTGCCTCGCCTAATTATATTGCTTCTATTGTAAGTGCGGGGTGTCTAACATAAACTGTCTAAGATCTAGAATTATGTATCTTTCAACATAATAATAAATTTAAATTTAAGCAACAGAGAAAGCTGAAGCCTCACATCTTGTTGGTACCTACATTGGAACCACAAAGAAAAGCAAATGGAGTTTACATTCTTGACATACATAATGAAATGACTAGAAAATCTTCCTGGGTTTATACTGCGTGATTTAAAATGTTTTTAACAAAGTTGAGGTACTTAATGAAAACACGTAAAAAAGCTAGAACAGGTATGCTTTTGTGAGCCCCACAATTTAAAGCGCTGACTTCAACTTACTTCGATTGCAGATTTCTAGTCATATTTTGCTAATTTAAAGAATGACCGATCGTCATAATCGAGCTTTCGTGCTATTTTTCGCCTTTCTATAACAAATGCCCGACAGGACAGTCTAATTACGCCTTTTTGAAAAAACGAAAAAGAAACGGAACTTTTTGCAAACTTTTATTGAGGTGCGCATTTTGTGGTTTCAGCGTTTAAAGTCTGATTCGCTTGAATAAATCTAGCAAGTTGGCAATAGTATGTTTTCTCCATTTAAATCTATGGAAATGAATCCATTCTCGAAGAATCGATTATCCTACACACGTTTAAATGGAGACAAAACATTTCTACCAACTTGCTTGATACGCCAATAAAACTCAGTAGCAAGTCGAGAACATGACACGAAGAATGGGAAGGGCGGGTATCTTGTCGTCAGGCTTTTTCCGATACACGGAGATACAACGGAGGTATTCATTAAACGTCAAACATTGCCGGTTCGAGGAACCAAAGTTTTCAGTCACAGGAACAGAACTTTAGTGAAATTCACTGAAATACGGTTCGTATGAACTCAAACTTTGGTCATCAAAACCGAAAAAAATCATTTGATCTGAACCAAAGTTCAAACCCTGCAACCGAGTTTTTTTCCGTGGTGTGAAATAGACGGTATTAAAATTCATCTTTTTAAGGACATCCTTACTCCTAGGTAGCACAGTTCAACGAAAATATTGGAATAATTTTCAAATTTAATGCAATACAATTTTAATGTTTTCTCATTGAAGTTGAAATATTTTTACATCCTTCGGTCCGTGAATGCCGATTTTAAACGATCTATATTGTAAGTTCCACATGCGAGGAAGGTAAGCAAATTGCCAAGAAAATCGCATCTTATTTAAATTTTATTGCAACGGAGTTCAATCTTCAATTAGTGAATGGGCAACATATACAACACGTCAACACAGTCGTCATTTTCCTCGCGAAAAAAAGTAATCTCATTTCAATGTTGCCAAATTTCTTCTCGAAAAGTGCATTTTTACCGGAAGAATTCAAAGGAGGTATTCCTTATTGAAAATTTTACTGATTTTTCTTGGGATCTACGCAAAAATCAGAGAATTTTTTCAGATAAAAGTTTCATACGTACATTCTTGTAAAAAATTGAATTATTTGAGTCAATTTTGCACCTTCGGAATGGAATTACGTTCCTCCGACCGGGAGACAACGAATAGCAATAATTTTACCGTGTAATTGCAATATTAATTGCGATCTGTGCTACTACACATCGATGGCGTGGTTGGATATGATGATTCACAAAACAGATAAACTTGAACCACTCATGATACAATGATGAGAAAGCGAATGCTGAAACATAAAAGGATTGGGAGGTAGACAAGAAAGCGAACACATCTTACCGCCAAGTACCTGGTGTGGAATAGCCGTCTCCAGCCTCACCTCCGTCTTCAGGAAATATATTTGACAAAGAGACTTTAGGTGAAGCATGTCGCGTGCTACTCGTGGCTGTTTCTTCCTCTTCTTCTTCCAACACCTCAGGAAGTAACATTGACTGTTGATTTTCAGGTACCCTACAAAAATTTCAGTGAACTTGTTTAAACTAACGCAGAAGGGAAAACGCAAGCGAGGGGATTTAACAATGGAGAATTTGCACGAAAATATCGTTTTGCCTCATCTGAGAGTGCTTAATGAGCTGAGTTCGCAGTTAACTAGGTTTTATTTCTGATGTAGGAAATTGTAGAAGAATTGATTTAAAAGTGAGAAAATGTACCGCCGTATGACGTCATCAGGCTGCATATCTGTTTAAACACTTCGGTCATTATTTCCTCCAGCAATTGTTCAATTTGGAAACCAAGAATATTATAATGCTTAATTCACTCGCGCAGTTGTTTGTTCTTAAAAAAAGAAAAAGAAAAAAAAATAAGAAACATTATACTCTTTTTGTTTCTCCAGTAACGAGGAAAAATTGTATTTTTAAATAAAATTGCAGCAAAAGGACAAAATTAATCGGATGTATTTCAGTTCAGGGAAGTGCTAGGAATGTCACTGTGCTAGGATAGGGGAAAGATAAATAAATAAACATGAAGCATAAAAAAATTTCCGGAATAGCCACCTTGACACTTTGTCTCATTCTGTAAAATCTCTTTCTTGTGAAGTATTTTTGCAGGCAGAGCAGAATATGATTCAGAGTGGAATTTTGAATGAAACACGACAGCAGAGAAGAAATCATTCGCTGTCTTTGAACTTGAAAACTCAGAGGCGCGGAGTGAATAATCGATTATCGACATTTCCCCGTTTGAAACTATGGTAAAAGATATCGATTATTAAGGTGCTCAGTGGGAACACCGGAACACCCTATTCATCGATCATTTTTTACAGGTTTAAATGGCAAATCAACCGATATATCGCAAAGTACGCCTCGCCACTGTTAAAACTGCGAAACGAATGAAAGTGAGCCATTAAGCCCCCTTGATAATCTTCATAGAGACTATTCAAAGAAGTTTGCAGACTTTCCTCAGAATTTTTCCGATCACTTTCATAATTATTTTCTTTTAAATATTTTTGATAGACTGGATGCGGGCAACTTGTAAAAGTGGAAATTTTAAATTTCAAAAGTGCAAAAAGAAAAAAAAACGGTATTCCGCCTCGCAACATGAGTCTGAAAATGTGTCATAGATTTCAGTGAAACCTAGATTTCTCCTTATACTGGAATCATATGACATCCCATTATCTTAGGACACCTTAAAATGGGCACATCAATTTGATCGTATAAAAAGGCGCAGGTAATTTTTGGAAAGCCTTTAGACATATGCTTGCTGCATTGCACACACAATATAAAACAAGCCACAAAAAGAAACAAAAGCCTAGGGGAAAAATCAATTTACTTAAGTTAGGACTGCGCTTTTTGAGCAAAAATAAAAGCCCAAGTATGATGGTAAGATTTTAGGCACGTACACCGAAACACTGCGAAGTTTTAACAACTGTTCATGAGGCTTAGAGGAAGTTAACCCTCCCCCCTCTCCCATGCAGCTAAAAAAACACTTACGTCATATGTGCGACAGATCCCCGGTAAGTCTTTATTTTATACGGCACGGATGCTTCAGTGTACGGAAGGACAATGTTCTCTGCGTCAAAGTATTTGTCTTTCACGATAGGTGGTCTTTGTTGCATTAAAATGTCTACTCCAAGATACGAAACCTGCAAATGAAGGGAAACAGAAAGTTATATGAAATGCATTGTTATTTTCATGCATATCAATATGGTCTTCAAACACATCGACGGTGTAAGTCGGCAATCACATAACTCGGTTTGTGACGTCGCAGACTTCCTGTCACACTTTATTTTTTAAACGAAAAACTACTCATAACGGTAATTCTTTAGAACTGCCGTGATTTTTCTTCTCTGTGCGAAGACATTTTGCAAAAACTTCAAGGAATGATGTCAATTCGTTCTCCTTTAAAAGAATAACATAAAGGCGGAGATTTTCAGTTACCGCAAACGAGATATATGATTGTGGCCTTACGCCGTCAACATCTATTTTTTAATGGGTTAAGAATTGCAGGATTTCCTATACTTCGTGGCATTTTAAAGTTATAAATCATCTACATATATTAGATTTCTAGGAGAGGTGGTGAGATTTTCGATGACACACGAAACAATAAACCTTGCACAATGTTAAACTTTTTTTCATTTCATTTAATTTTTTTTTTTTTTTTGGGAGGGAGGGGAGGGGTAGCTTTTTTTTCACAACAAATTCTTCTCAATGGTAGGACATGAATAGTAGAGACCACACCTCTCATTTTTTTGTTTACTTTTTTTTCCTTTCCCCTCTCACCAAAAAGATTTTGTGTAATTGTTTTTCAATCTGGTGCAGATAAAATTAAACATACGGGTGAAAGTTGTGACAAATTCACAAATAAAAGCCATCAAACCTTAGTGTGCCGATCAATCAGCCAGTTCAGCTCAAAATCTTCTTCATCGTCACCAAACGGGTTGATCAGTTGTTCGGCAACCTAACACACCACAAATTAAAAGTTTAGGAGAATAGAAAGACAGTCAAAACTGGAAAATATAAGTGTAATAAAACTCAAAAACTCAGTTCATTACCTATATACTTAGAGAGTCTTATACGTGTTATTGGAATTTGACCATTATTAAAACTACTATTTAAATAAAAATGTGTGCAAAAACGCAGCATTGCAAGACGTATTTTTGTCATTTTAGGAAAAATACAACTAAAATTTATTATTTGAACTTTTGCAGAATGATCTGAACGAGGTAGAAAATCAGTAAAACTTGCAAGATATAAAGGTCGTTGCTTTTCCTTTGGATGGATAGGATGCGAGGAGATATCTGCGATATTATGGATCAAAATACGTGTTTTAAGATTTTTATAATCTATATAAGTACTCCTATCTCTTCCTTAACGTCCACGGTACCTTTCTATAATGTTACTTTCTTAACCTCCGTTTTCATCGCTTGATCGATGTCCCCTCCATTTTTTGTCAATTTTTCACATTATCAGATTCGCCAGTGAAATAATTGATACTAACAGACAGATAGAATTTGAAGTATTTTTGCATAAAGATAACTGATATCCATGCTGGCTCATGCAAAGTGAATTAATGGCTAACCTCCAAAATTACATGTCTTAATTCCTAAATTGTGAAATTTCTTCTTACATACTTGTCATGTTTAAAGGAAGAAAAAAGCCTAGGAGCTCAAAGTATTTAAAGTTAATTTGCTGCCTTTAAAAAGAATATAGTATTCCTAGAAATTTTGAGACGTTGCAATGAAGATACGTTGTTTTGAGGTTTAACTTTTAATGTCCTGTGCCAACTCAACGATTAGAAGAGGTATAACTTCAAGTTTATCAAACAAATAAAGAGAAAAAATTGAACATGCTTATCTGCAATATTTCTCATTACTTTAAAATAAGGCACTGTAATCACGAAGTTTTATGAAAAAAATTCAATCCACAACACCGTTTAAACTCTATCAGTATCTCCGGGTGCTGGCCGGGCTAAAATTGCATTCTATTTTGAATGGCTAAATTTAAAGTTGAAAAAAATATGGCGGTACTTACTTTCAACAATCCCATAAAAAACAAAAACTGGAGAATTGTAAAAAGTGGAATGTAAATGTCTACTTCCAGCTGCAGTTTTTTAGACCCATCTACATACTGACGTCCTATTAAGGCAGCGAGAAAAAAAGAATACGTTGCAATAGTGACAACCTTAAAAAATAATTGTTAAACGCATTGGAATAAATCTTGAAAAATAGACCAGCAGTCAAAAAGAAAATCATTCAAAAAACAGAAATAATAATTATGCAAAATCAATGAAAAATGATAGATGAATTGTGATTAGAGCACTTCTCAACTTAGCAAGGTAATAATAAATAAAACGAAGCAAAATACCTACATTTCATGGTAGATGTTATGAAAAAAGTACCTTCTCTTTATCCTAAGAGTAAATCTTATTGTTTTCATTGGCGGAAATTGGGGGTGGGAGGGGGGCGGGCTGCCCCCCAGCAATCTACTTGCACCTCCCGAGACGTAAGATGTATTTTGCCATTTAAGTGCATGACGTATCTTTCATTTTAATTTTTGAAATTGAATACATTTTTCAGGGAAAATTGCTCCTGAGATGGCTCAATTTTTCAAAATTCTCGGGAGAAACCCCCCCCCCCCCGACCCTTCTGAAAAGCTACTAGAATTCTCCGAACTCTCCTTTAGAATAAGGAAAGCTCAGCAGACGCAAACGGACCCCCTCTTCTGAGTGTTCAGTGTTTTTGTGCCCTTCCAAACCCCCCTTAATGAGGTACCCCTCTACCCCCGACACGAAAAGTTCCTAGTTCTGCCCATACCGGTTTCATAAAAGAATGAAAATAATGCATGTTTAAAATTTCGTTGCTCTTACTGCATTGCCTCAAAATTAAGAACAATAATGCAAAGTAAAATGAGGAAAATATACATAAGTAAATGAATTCATATGCGCGGTAGGTGTAAGTTCCAGCTCAAAAAATGCTTTCCGTCGGTAAGAACCCGTTCTCACTTTTCACATTATACTTGTAAATCTTTGATTTGAATCGTGCTTGGACAACAACTAAAAGTCATATCTCAAAATTACAGTCAAAACAGTTCAATATTTTCCTATAATCAAATGCAATACTGTAAAATTCTGGTGAAAGTTGAATTTTTTGAATATACAATAAAATTTTTAAGTTTCAATCTTCTAGAGAATTTAAACATAGATTGGGGGCAAGATGATTCTTATTTCTAGCAATTTTAGTATGATGAAAGTGATCAGTCGCCATTCATTCATAGGCTCACACAAGCGAGAAATAGATAATACACGCATTGGCATCTTCAACGAGCACCGGCCACTTTTTTAAATAATGTTGAATAGAATAGGTTCCACATAGAGAATTAAAAACTGAAATGGGCATTGTTTTCGTCGATCTTCTTCATCTTCTCACTTTTCCACTGAAAAAAAAGTAAATGGTGCCTTTATAAAAAATTTACCTGAGTATAAACTAAAGGAATGCTGATCCAGTCATAGCTCCACAGAAGCCCACATTTCGAACGGAATTCGTTGAATTCCTGAAAAGAGAAACACAAGTAAGGTATGAGGATAGTATATTCTATTGTTCAATTTGAAGCATGATTTGTTGTGCCGCTCGAGCAGTAATTCTGGCATCATTTCAAATAATTACTCGGTCGAACTTTGGATACACAGCTATGAAAGAACAAACATAAATGCGGTTTAATAATTTTAACTTCCACCGCCGCGCCGCGCTGACCGTACTGTATTTGGCGCAATGGGTGAAGTATTCCTACAGCCTTGTAGACGCAATGCGTTTCACACCGACCGTTGCTGACCGCACTGTGTTTGACGCAATGCGTAAAGTATTCACGCTGTCTTGTAGGCGCTGAGCGTTTCCCGCCGACCGCTGCTGACCGCATAGTGTTTAACGCAATGCGTGAAGTATTCATGCAGTCTTGTAGGCGCTAATATGTGTTACTGCCAACCGCCGCGCCGAGGGCTTCTCCTTTTCATCTCAAGTCCTCGTCATTATTGCTCTCTGCGCCGCGCCGTTCTAGGCCAAATTGGGTATTTAGCTTCTCTCTGAACTCGACTAATTAAAGGTGCTGCCTCTTGTATCACCGAAAGACGGCAAAATTAGAAGTTACTATACTCTCAGGAAATGAGAGATTTTGTTGCCTTTTCTCGTTAGTATTTTTTTTTTTCTGAATTCGATTTTTTTATACCTACATTTAGAAAAATTGCAAAATTTGCCGCCCCCCTAAATTTGCCGTCATGGGCCAGCAGGGCCCATGTGGCCACCCCCTAAATTCGGCCCTGGAAATTGCTTCAGAGACTTTAACGCAAGGGCAGAAAAGTAGGCATGCCAACAAGTGCGAGCTGCTTGACGTATGAGCCCTTATTATTTAAAAAGACGAAGTTGGTGACCTCCGTTGAACTGGCGAAACGGCGCGGCAAAATGGATACAAATCAGCGTGCTCGCAGGTCAAGAAATTGCCCATTCGTGAAAATTGAAGGCGCTTAGTCAAGCGCAGTGACAGTATGCTCATGTTTTAAAGTATCAGTTCTCGGTATCTGTTCATTTAGCCACGGCTCGTGGCGCCACGCAACAAAAATTGTTGCGTTTAGCCACAAGTTATAGGTGCTGTGTGGCTAAATGAAACATTCAAAATGAGTGTGGCTAAATGCAACAAATTTTGTTGCGTGGCGCCACGCAACAAAAAATGTTGCATTTAGCCACAGAAGTTATGTGTGATCTGAGTTATCTGTGGCTCATTGCACCGCAGCCAACAGGGCTACGGTGCAATGAGCCACAGATCTTGGCGCCACATTCGGATCTCGGCTAAAATTCGGGCACAGCGCCACAGAGTGTGGCGCCACACTCCTGCAAAATCCTCAAATTTCCCTTATGTTTAAAACCGCTTAAGTGCTGGTGCAACCTGCCACAAAGTTCTGCTTACAGTTGACTTTCCGCTCATCTTTGACTTTCGTAAAAAACTGTCCAACCAACTTTGATAAACTTTCGAGCGTGGCACTACGCACCAGCGCATGAAAAAATCCGGGCCCAGCGCCACAGGGCCGAGCGCCACAACTCACGATTGCCTATCGCCTGAATTACGGGCGCGCATCGGGTAGCGAGGCCTGCGTCGCTCAGTAGCGCATGAAAAAATCCGGGCCCAGCGCCACAGGGCCTAATCCACCTGAGGTTAGGTTAGGTTAGGTTAGGTTAGGTTAGGTTAGGTTAGGTTAGGTTAGGTTGGGTTAGGTCAGATCCGATGCGACGCGACGTGGGCCTCGCTAACAATATGTTGAATTGTGGCTGTCTAAATTTACCTAATCTAATATGCTTCGCCTAGAAGATTACCCTCTGTATTCATGAGTCAACTCAAATCTATCTCACTAATCTGTGGCTAAATGCAACAATTTTTGTTGCGTGGCGCCACGCAACAAAATTTGTTGCATTTAGCCACACTCATTTTGAATGTTTCATTTAGCCACACAGCACCTATAACTTGTGGCTAAACGCAACAATTTTTGTTGCGTGGCGCCACGAGCCGTGGCTAAATGAAATGTAATCTCAGTTCTCGAACAGTATCATTTCATTGAAAGAACAAATTGCATAGTACTTAATGAATCCAAGGGTTGCTGAAGAGCACTAAAAGGGCAGAAATTGATGTCACTTAACCAATTACTAAGACCACCTGTCGAGGCTGGACAAGTTCTTCGTAATTTTTCCTCTTTGATGATCCCCCTTCACAATTCACCTTGGTACATAAAAAAATCACTAGGCTGTGTCGGATTTCGGAAACTCAGTGGGATTCAACCACCGTGGGATCTCCTCCATTATGGACTCAACTTAGAGATATTTTTTCAAACTTGGGAGTGAGTTTGAGAGGAACACCACCGGCACCATCTTAATTCTCGTGAAATTCAGCATGAGATGAAACTTCTAAAACGCGAACTCTAGTGGTATACGAGCGCTCCACTAACAGATATAAAATACAGCATAATATAGAGTGGATATACCATACGGTAGAGTCTATACCTCCATTATGAGTTTCAGGCCTTGAGAGTCATTTATCATGTTTGTCCTCCTGGACTCCTTCAGTACCCCAATGAACCAAGTACACGGAATCCAGTAGGTGTTAAACTCTACACTTGGAACAGACTGAAACATTTGAAGCTCTGCGCCAGTCATGAAACCTATAAAAAATGATTCCTTTTATTAATACGTATTGTAATGCAATGTACAATCCCTGCCGCTGCCTTGGATTAATCTACAACATTTTAAAAATTAACAATTCGACACTCTATTTCTCGACTGAATCTGAAAGTTTCTGGATTTAAGTGCATTGTTTTAAACTCCTCAAGTGTCTCATCATAATGTAATTCGTTAGGCCTAAATTTCGTCGTGTTTTTTGGCTCTTATTCTTCTCCTTAAAAGTGACATTTAAGCTTTGCAGTTAATAATGACACGAAAACTATGAGTTTAATTCTTAGGGAGAGTATATCGTATAACCTGAGGTTAATTTTATTACGATGAGTAATATTTCCATTGTTTTAAAAAAATAACACTATTCTGCTCTATTCGTGATTCGTTTCAAACTTTATTAAATTCAGAACCGACTTGGATGTAATAGGCATGGCGTTATGTGTTTTATTCTGATTGTCGTGTTTGAAGTTATTTGTATACCTACTGCGTTGAATCCCAGTTTCTATTTACTTATCAGTTTAGGGATGCCGATTCAGCACGAAAGTCTCGTGATGGCCACCGTTCGTCAGTTTCAATTTTGATATTTTTAATTGTTTTGCGTGGACTATCGAAAAAGCTTAGAATTTCAAAATGTTTAACTTCGTGTGGACATTCGACCTAATATCTAAAGTTTATAAGTTTTTATGCGTAAAGTTCATTTGTTAAGAATTCTGCCTGAAAATGCTCCCCATGAGGAGCGAAATGTAGCAGTAACCTTCAATATTACTTATTGGCTGCAAGCTTGCAAAAAGGTAAATGTTTTACAATACTATAGCCGACGTATCACAATATCAAGTAATAAAAACAATTTTAACCGAAAATACACAATGGCTGCACAAACCAAGAGACAGAGGTTTCAAAAACTTTCATTGCAACATTAAATGATTTTTGGCAGCTGATTGATTCGGCTTCAACTGACAAGGTAGGCAAAAGCGGGTACCCAGAAATCGCAATAGTTGCATTCACGTGTTATGGGAATAAGAATTCTTCGTCGGAGGATCGGCGGTTATTAACAGCGATGGCTTGTAACTCTACAACGGACCCTGAACTTTTGGACTGTATCAATGTCTTGTACATAAAAGATACAAGCAACCAAGTTGCCTTATTTTAAGTAAAATGGCACAAAATCACGTTTTACTCCAAGGTTTCTACTTGTAAGATAATATTACACTCATGACAATGTGATAAAGAGAAAAGAACAAAGTGGAATAGGACCCACCTCCTTCCACGAGATGATCCATAGTGGGGAATCGCCGTTTCACTGCCGAGCTGATAGAGCGCAGGACCAGAATAAGAGTCAAATTTAGGTACCGCATCAGGGTTCGTCGAATGACACGGTCGTGTTCAGTCTCACCCTCCACGAACAGTGCAATCGAGTGCATCACCCTGAAACATTTCAGGCATTGTATCGTCGGAGAAACTGCAAAAACCTGTGCGAAGTTCCAGAATCCCTGCTCCATTTTATTTAGTAAATGGAGAGCAACCCAACATTATTGCTTAAAATTTTCACAGAAAATTCCTCACTCCGAGAATAAAAATTAAAGAGGGCTCTCATAATATGAATTTGGGTATTTTTTCATTTAGAAAATAAAGTATATCGATGACAAAAGTGCAAAACCACGTATCTCCATCGCGATTTTTCAAAATTTACGCACCTATCTTATTTCCTCGAAAAGAAACTAGCCTTATTGGCTCTTACATATAATATCCATGTAACTTAACAGAGACGAAAGATCAAAAAAGTTACCAAGAAATTTAGTTGAATAGTTTACCAAGGAAAGAATAAAGTATGACAGGAAGTCTGCAATGTCGAGACCGAAGTTACGTGGTTTCGGACTTGGGCCATTGATATGTCAGAAGGTTTGCAGCGTCTCAAATGGAAATTTGCGTTTTTACAGTTTCGTCGACGATTTTCGGAAAGACCCCCCATACTAAACCCGTAATTTTAGAAAAATTCATTTAAAATTTTCAAAACTATATACAATTAGAAGAAAAATCTGGCTGATACCAACGCAGAAATTTAAAAATCTGCTGAAAGTCTATTTCTCCGGCCATCTCTAGTGGTTTAATTTTCAGTACAATATTATCAAGTGGTAATGTCCAGCATGGCAAAGATGCTGTCTAAGCCAGCTTAACCGGGGCCAAACAAAATAGTGTTCTGTAAATATTGAGGAGTACTCTAAAATAAACTCACGAATGTAACTCACTAAATAATCGTAGAGTACTCAAAAACTCTTCGCGGAATTTTTCTATCGTGTCGATGTGTATTCTCAGTATCTCTATGTAACATCTAGAATGATTTTGAAAGATTGTGCAATGGATTTGTCGGGTGAAAAATTTTAAAACAAGGTGTTTTCTGTGATATTAATAAAAAATGCTGCATAGGACAGTGGCGAGGCGCGAATGATCCATTATCGATGTTTCCCCATTCGAAGCTGTCGTAAAGGATAGATAATTAGCGTGCGAACACCCTGTTTATCGATCCTTCTCCGGGTTTAAATAGCAGATCAATCGATATATCGCAATTCACGCCACGCCACTGCATAGGAGTATCTTCGTATTCATGTTGACCTCGCCCTTTTTTGCGTCTATGGAGCTTCATCTGATTTCAAAAAGAAGAAACATCGTAATTTAAGAGGACCTCGCACTTACTTGTCAGGCCAAGGAATGGCGACATATTGTTGCCACCAGCGACCAGCCACATATGCGACATAAAAACCCAGCACGAAAGAGAGGGGAATGAGTGTTATAAATGTATCGCAATATGCCACAATCTTCTCGAACACCCTGTAATACAATAACAGATATAAAAATAAGTAATTCAACAATACGAATCAACAGAAGGCAATGTCATAGCAAAACACATGAATATACTGAACAATGGCCAAATTGCAAAACCACGTATTTCCGTTTGCGACGTTGCAGACTTTTTACCAAACTCTCTTTTTTCTTCGGACAACTATTTAAGCGAAAACTTATTTTAAGCTATACATCAGTGGGTGCTACATTTTGCATGCATGCGCGGTAAGATTTTAGGCACACAACGAACAGGTTTTGAGGTTAAAAATTAGCAGAAAAGAGCACCACTTCATTCAAGTCGGCAGTAAGTACAATTTTTTCGCGAAATAATTTGGACTTCCTACTTTTCGATTTTAAGTTTTTGAATATTATATGGTTTCACTTTTGTAATCGATCATATCATCTAGGAGTAGGGGGTATAGCATAGCTCTAGCCCCCTTGTACTCCCTACAGTGAAAAAGTCACTTCCGGGAGTTACCGCTCAAATTCAACCATTGCTGACTTGAGACTGAAGCGTCGAGCAGCCCCCTGCTAAAAAGACTGTGGTGATGAGTGCAACATGGTTGCATCAATATGGTGCCATGTTTCGCTCACCAACATGGTGACAACATGATACCAAGGTGGTACTAACATGATCATTCTTAGCAGGATTGGTCTAAGATTCCTGACCCACTTTGCATAAACTCGCCTTTCAAAATGATCACCTCAACATTCATTAGTCATCATCGGGCGAATTTTATTTGATTTTCCTGGTTGAGAGAAAGAAAATGAATTTCCTAATAGTAGCAGCATTTTTGGTACAGTTAAGCATAATTTTCATTGATCCCTGGTAAAAATTGGCGATAAGAGCTGCGTTAAATACCATAGGAATTCTAATAGCCGACTAAAGAAGGCTACAGAAAATCATATAGCTGGCTGTAGAATGCGGAAAAAATCATACGACCGGGCTATACGAAGCGATAAAAAATTATGCGCAGCCGGGCTATAGTTCCTATCGCCGGGCTTTACACTTTATCGCGTGGCTGTTGCTTTTTCGCCATCGATTATAAAAGGCTATAAGAAATTGTGTAGAAATTCGTGTGCTTTGGAAATCATTAAGTTTGATACGGAACCACCTTAATATTTACAAAACACACATTATATTTTCCTTTAATACATATTTTTTTTCATCAATTAAAATGAGAATAATCCATACAGGATTTGCAAACATTTCAAAATCATGAGTTGAATAACGCTGACTTCGCCAGATTAAATATCAGAGCCTAACACAAAGCGGAGCGGCGACGCACTGGCGCCTACAAACCTAACAGGGATACTTCACGCATTGCGCAACGCGTGAAGTATCCCTGTTAGGTTTGTAGGCGCCAATGCGTGTTTCGCGCTGGCTGCCCGCTGCCACGGCGCTTGAAGCAACTATTTCACACCAGAGGTATTGCACAGTATTATACGAAACTGAAGGCGCTCTAATATATTAGTAATGGCAGGCATACATCAAAAGCACGGAGCTTTCCTCGCAAAATAAATCAAGATACTACGGCCAAAAAAGAGAGCAGTATTCCAAAAACTCACTAAGTCCTAGCATCCGTAATGGACCACTAGACAAGGTACGAATTTAAGCATTCTGATACATGTTTCCTAACCAAAATTTCACGTAGAACACGATACGCACAACGAAAATTACCGAAATTAACTCCTTACGAAGATATTTAATGATTCTTGATGCGTGAATTCAAACCACCCGCTCATGAAAACTCAATGCTCTACGTCATTCACATCGCGCGCTAAACGTTATCATAAACGTCTCAGCGATATAAAAATCTGGCAACCTCAATCTTGACGCTTTGGCTCAGCTATAGCAAATTACTTATAGTTTGAACAACACATGGTGGGAAAGGAACATTGCTCGATTGAGACGCTTGCTGAAACCATTGTAGTGCGCGATTTGACTCACGTAGAGCTTTGAGTTTCTTGTGAGCGGCCAGTTCAAATTCCTCGTAACTAATGTGAAATAAAAACGTTAATATCTTCGCTAAGAGTTGGTTTCAGTAACTTTTGTTGCGCGAATCGTGTTCTACGTGAAATTTTGGTTCGGAAACATGTGTTAGAATGCTAAAATTCGTACCCTGTCTAGTGGTCCATTAGTAACGTTTAGCATACACTTTATCGCCCGGCTGTTGCTTAATCGCCATCGGCTATAAAAGGCTATAAGAAATTGTGTAGCCGGCTATAGAAGCTATTGGAAATCTTACAGCCGGCTGTAGGTCTATGGTATTTTGGAACACAGATTATACTGCCAATTTTTACCAGGGATCCCCGTTACATTTTCCCACCTTTCCCAAATTCTCTTTAACCGTTTACTAGGTAATATCTATTTCCCTGCCCTTTTCACTACTACTGCTCTATTTTCTCTTTGTTACATGCCGTAGTCTCAGTTCTCACCTTGATGTCCCTATAATTTCATTTTCTAGTTTCAGTGTACGTTACCTTTTTTTATCATTAATTTTAACATTCTAGTCTTTGTAATTCTGTACTTTAATCTTAAAAAGTGGTGTGATATGAGTTAAAACAAAATTTTAAAAAGACCCATCCAATCTTGTAAAATGTTATGAGTAAATAGCTATGTACATGAAAAAAAAAAAAAATTGATCCCCGTACAAAAAGACGCCACAGTGGCGCCAAAATCGATCATATTCTGTGGTACCCGTTAAAAAGTTCCGGATTTTCCCCTTTTCTTGTTATTGTTTCCATCATAATGAGCATGTTGGCAACAGTGAGGTGTCAAAGAGCAACTTGCGATAAATCCTTCGGAAAAATCACCGGACACGGACGCGTCAAATTGAGTAAAACAAGGTGTAAACAGCACGTTGACTCACACCCGGGTCTGTCGCGCGCGGCTTGTATATATGTCACGCCTCACGCCTCACGCCTCACGCGGGGAAACATATCGCGACTTAAAGGCCTACTCTCCTGCCAGCCGCTCCAAACATGGACCCGACTACACTTGAAACGCTTGTTAACCAGCTAATTATGCTGCGCTAAGGAAGAACGCCATATCAACATTCTAACGTTGCCAAATTCCTTGTGACAAAAAAGGGAGTCACGCCTCCTGGCCGCCTCGCGAGCTCCTGGTGGCTTTAGAGTACCTGTATAGGGAGAGTACCGACAGATCGGTTCGTGGAGGGCTTAGGGCCCAAAAGTACAGCCACCTTTGTAACCAACTTCTAACGCACAAAATTTCACTGCCAGTCTGCAGATTCCAATTCTAACCAAGATGGCCAAGAATGTACAGAAATGAGCGTTCTTCCGCGAAATTGAGTAAATTTATGCAAAAACTGAGTCAAACACGTGCTTAATAAAGGACGGTTCGTAACAATAGTATCAGTAAATCGCTCTGGATAATTGAAATTCATAGGTTGGCTGCCCTTTTGGGCCCTAACTTTATTCGCGGAGGCATCGGTGAAGGCCTGATGGACTTTCGGAGTTTCAGATCCGTCGGTACTCTCCCTATACAGGTACTCTAGGTGACTTAAGGTGATTTGTCAAGCTTAAGTGGCGTGGTCGAACTGGCATGCGATATATCACATCAATTAGGTCAAAAATCTCGGCATATTTTGAATTTTTAGCAAAAAAAGGGCGAAAGCCCCTGCGCATCAACTCGTAGAATCATTCTAAACCCAAAAATCGGCAAAATCATAGAAATGAAATCAGAATAGTTTTAGGAAAAAAACCTCGTATACGATACAGAAATCGATAGCTGAATCGAATGCGAGGTTCTTTTCCGAACACTATTTTGCTTTCATTTCTCTAATTTTGCCAATTTTTGGGTTTAGAATGATTCTTTGGGTTCATGCGCAGGGGCTATCGTGCTTTTTTTTTTTTTGCTAAAAATTCAAAATTTGCCGAGATTTTTGACCTAATTGATGCGATGTACCACATGCCACTTCGACCTAGTCACTTGAGCTTGACGAATGACGAATCGCCTTAATGTAATAAAGCAGAGAAAAAGAGAAACCAAGGTCGGAGAAAACCAAAATCCTACTCCATGATGTAAGATCACAAGAGTAACGCGCGCCGGATTGGTGCGCGAATGTTGAGGCTGGACTGCCAAGCTGCCAGGGGGGACACCCCTAGTTTTTATTTTAATCTGTTTGCTCTTTCCCACTCTCCTCTGAAAAAATCCTAACCACGCCATGGACGCAGTTTTCTTTCATATAACTTGCCTCAGGATTGTGTAATTATAACTTCGGGGGGGGGNGGGGGGGGGGGGATTTGCTCCCGGAGAGGGTGATTTAGGTTGAGGAATCTAGACCTCTAGACCCCCCTCCCTCCTTCGGCTGCGCGTCTGAGTTATCATCTTAAAAGGTTGCCTTGATTGCAGGAACCAAAATATGGGTTAAGCTGGTTTCATTTCAAGCAAAATGAACTGTGCTAAGCGAAAGCGGTCTACTAAAATTCTGGCAAGAGCTCCGATTCTTACTCAGATTTATACGAAACAGGGCTTATGTTGAAATGTGAATGAATTTCGCTCATTTAACTCCGGCCATGTGGACGTATTTAAATCAAAAGGAACTGTCTCCGTTTTCTTATGAGCCTTATCACGCATGTACCCTAATGGATCGCAGGGCCCAGGTCATAATGGAAATTGTTCTTTTTGAATTTAGCGGGTCCATATGACACTCAGCTGCTCTGACTCGAGATTCCCTCAATCTGAGTCTGGGGTCGAGACCTATGTTACCCTGCTAAGAAAAAACGCCGTAAGACTATCGACACGTTGTCAAATTTCTCCTGATAGAAGACTAATTTCCTGGAAAAAATTGTGAAATTTTTTTCCATGAGTTATTTTGAGGATTTTACTCATAATTTATCTACCGTTTTTGAATAATTAAATGAAAAATATTCACGACTTTCCGCGACAAAATAAGATTTTATTTGAAAATATTTGGCAACCTTCGAATGCTCTTACTACCTTTCTCCTTAGTGCGACAGTG